ATAAGAATCTCTCTAGTCAAATTCTTTTAGATCTTACTTTATATACCTTAAATATTTTATTTCCCATAGTACATATGTCATTTTGGGCAAAGGATTGTTTTGGATTTGTTGATTCCAATTCTGTTCATTCTTATATTTTTAAGATACACATTGAACATGACCTAATAAGAAGCTAAAATGTGCCAGTTTAATCAAAATGTGACATTGTTCAAATACAAAGGAAATAAAATGAAATTAAGGATATGTTTACACCTCTTTCATAGTAAATTCTCATATTAGCTTTTGTCAAAAGTACTTCACAACATTTCACAAGTTGGAAAACAGAGAACCCAAAAGACATTGCTGAAAATAATCCACAGAAGTCTTGTTCCTAACAATTAAAGTAATTGAGAGTTCTGTATGATTAGAAAAAAGGCTTTACCATGAATTCTTTTCATGAGTAAAACAACCTATTTGACAGCTTAGAAAAGTTATTATTTTCGTTTTGTAAATGAAAAGACTGAGCCATAGGACCCGTGAGGGAGTCATCTGAGTTTATACGGCAATAAAATGAAAAAGGCACATCTGGAGTCCACCAACCTTTACAGCCTTTCTAGCACACACTGCCCTGGCTGCATTGGGACTTATCTTGTAGGATACATTGACAGATCCCAACTTAAAGATTTGCTCAGTGTTATTTCACAATGGTGTTAGATGCTCAAAATGGTCCTTAGAATTTGTGAGCAGCATCTTTTAAAATTTGGAAGATTCAGCATTTTGAAAGATATTAAACAGCTACTTGAAAGAGTGAGTTTTTTGAATTCTGGCATGCAGGTTTTATGCAGATTTCAAAGGCATGAATGTTTGGCTTTTTTTCCCAACGATGAGCATTTCAAGTGTCCTTTGGGTACATCATGCTGCCTTCTTACAATTCACTTGTCCTTTAATGTAGGTGAAAGTTTGGCTCTTGCCACTTCCTATATCTTGTTTTTTAATAGAATCAGACTGAAATTCTTCATACAAGAGGGCTTAAGAATTCCATCTGTTAAGACAAAGGGAAGAAAATAACTTATTTCAACCACTAAAAACTTTTGACAGATGGACACTTGATATTCTTGCTTTACAAAGAGCTCATTGAAATGAGCTGAAAAGCAAGCAAATCATAGAAAAATGAACAAGATGCATGATCAGCAGTGCAAATATTGTTAGAAGACAAAGATTCAAATAGCTCATAGAGACATGAAAGATGCTTACAAAAAAGAAATGAATGACAAAATGATATATATACACACATGTATATATATTAAATAGCAAAATACGATATATATGCATATATACCAACTTGGCAAAAAAAAAAAGGCAAAATAAGACAACAACAAAAAAGTTGTGTGGGACTCAGTATTGATGAAAGAAAAAAGGCTCTTGTACCCTACTGGTAGAAATGTAAATTGGAATGTAAATTCATTGTCTATAAAAATCATAATTGTGAATATCCTTTGAAGAACTAAGTCCATTGTATGGAATTTATTTTGTAGATATAGTCATGGAAATCCACCTAGATCTATAGTTATGGATTCCAAACATTAATTATGGCATTATTTCCCATTTTTTTATTTGTGGCAAAAACTGCAAACAACCAATTCCTATCAGCAGGGAATTGGTAACATAAATAAAAGGAAATCCATAAATGGGGAATTGGGTATCAATATTTGCATTCTTTAGTAGTAATGCTGCTGGAGACTGTTACTTTAAGAGACTATGGCTCTCCAACCACAGGAAGTCATGGTTTGGCTTTTACTCCAGTAATCACAAAGCATTTGGACAGAACATGTATAGTGTTCCCTCTGGCGTCCCTTCTGACAACAGTGTTTGAAGTAGCTGAGCTGGGCTAAGAGTAGGGTCATCTGGAACTTGACTTAGATGTTCAGTCAACCACTAACATAACTTCACCATGGATGGAGCCTGCCCCTTGGCCTAAAGACTTGCCAGAGACAATGCTAGATGTGATGGATTGCTTTCCTAACAACATAAAGACTGCATTTAAGCCTTGAATTATACATCCAAGAGCAAGTCATTTAATTCTTCCATAGCATTGAGACATTGATTTATTTCAGAGGATTAAGTCATATTCAAATGATATGAATGATTTAGTTTGGTTAAACAGGATCAAAGCTCCAGAGTGCTTAAGTACACATAAACATAAAAATTAATTAACATAATGTTTTTATTGTGTTTTCCTCCCCCATAACTATGTTTATAGCACATCCATTTAAATAAATCAAAGTTCCATCTCAACTGACTTGTTTAGATGTCCATATGCAAACTAGAGAGATGACAAAAAGGGAAGGGGCATTTTACTACTTATTAATGTAAGTACTGGAAGCCAGTTATTGTTTTATTTATTTTAAAAAAATGTGGGAATATTGTAGTGTTTCCGCCATTGTTAGTTGACTTTGATGTTGATGACTTGCCTTGTAGAGTTTTTCTAACTGCCCGAACATCTGCTTCCATTCCAACTGCCTCACCTTTTATGCAAATAGGAATCCAAACTTGACATCATGTCAGCCCAATCAGGCTGTTGGATCAAACTCTAAAAGACGCAAGACAGAAAACCTCCCACATCATGTCGCTCCCTTCAGCTTCCTTCCCTCTCCCTTTAGTGCTCAGTGATGTCAACAGTGAGAATTCTCTGGAGTAATCTCAGCCAGGACTGATGAGGGACCACCATGTACACATCTGGGTGTTTTTACAGCTAAGTTGCAAATTTTTACACTTTCAATCTAACAAGTCTTCTGGGAAGTAAGACTACTTGAACAATTATCTGCTTAAATCATGGATGCATGTAGACTCTGAAAAGTGCCCAATGTCCTGGCACTAACAAGGAACACCTTGGGGGGCATTCTCAGGATGGACTAGGGGTAGATTTCCTTAGCCCTAGGAGTGGAATGCCCAACATGTTTCCATAGTTTTATTTGCTGTGCCAGCTGCTAGAATAAGGAAATGTTTCCTCAATTACAAAAATAACTCAGGTTTGTAAATACCATCATGATGTCCTCAGTGTTTATTTTTGTTTGTTTGTTTGTTTGTTTGTTTTGGTACTGGCTATTGAACCCAGGGGTGCTTTATCACTGAGCTATATTTCCAGTCCTTTTTTATTTTGAGACAGGGCCTCACTGAATTGCTGGGGCTGGCCTCTAACTTG